CTATCTGAAATACTGGTAGACGTACAGTTATGCGTTGGGTATGCCGCTAAGCATATTTAGAGATGTGAATAACAGATACAGGATCTGTCCCTTCTACTGTATAGAAGTATAATGTCAATGGGCCCACTGAATAGTAGGACTTGGGAAAGTGCATGGCCATGCCCAGATATGTCACTATCTAGAGACTGATAAATATCTGATCCCTGCCAGTCTACTTGAGATTCAGTAACAACTGATTTAACTATACAAGGATACACATCCCATGCCTTGTGTTAAATCATGACATTTAGGACAGAAGGATAATAGTTATAGAATGTCTTGAGTCGTAGAAGGTATTGATGAGATGATCATTTTTTTCATAATCTGGGGATAATAATGTGTTGCTAGATACCGCTTATTATCTATGGTATTAATTTTATTAATATCATTGCCAGTGTTATGGATACTTAAAGGGTCACACACTTAGGACTTGTAAGAGAGTAGTATACTACACTAGTGGGAGTAATATTAAATATATAGTTGTGATAATTTTATACATATATATGTATTTCGAAAATACATATGTATTTTAAAATTATATTTTGTTTGTGTCATTTTAATTATATGATAATTATATTTTGACAAAACAAATTTTATTATATATATATATGTAGCGCCGAATGTGTGTATATATATATATTATTTTATTTTTCATCATTTTAATTATATGATAATTATTGATGTCAAAAATAAAATATGATATATTTCAAATATGTGATGTCCGAAATTTTAAGAGGAAAAATCCAAGACCATTTTGATTTTATACATAAAGTATTTTTAATGTCAAATTGATATATTTGATTATTATTTGATGTAGGGATTCTATTTTGTTTTGTTATGGTGGTTAGAGACATTGCATTTTGATTAATTCATTATCACAACTTAATGTCTCAAGGAAGCTTCATACATTAATTAATGTGTTATAAAATGAAATAAATCCCACCCCATTTCATAAGTGATTTTCGGCCATATAGAGAGAGAGAGAGGAGAAAATTATTATTTTGTGTTACAAGTTATTTTTCTAAAGTGTTAGAAATATACACAAAATATTTATAAGATAAATATTTTACTATATATTTATTACTCCCAAAGTAGTATTATTATAGTTTTACTATCCTAAATTAAACTTGCTAGCACAAGTTTAATCTAGGACTCCGGAGCAAGTTCGTGTGGATACGTTGGAGGCTTCATACGTTTCGCGCTACGTTCATCTCCTCAAAACCATCCTCGACAGTTCCTCCGTTCTCCGTTTTCACCGTTAATGTAAATTTCTTACTATAGCTAGTAATTTACGTAACTTGTTCTTGGGTGGAATCGAGTTTTGGACTATAAATTTTTCTTTTCCGCTGCGTTATCCAAGCCTCGTTTCCCAACATGGACATATCCAAATAGTTCTCCAACAAAAACATGTTTGATGTACCCAAGCTTAGGAAAAGCTATGGATAAATAAGGGCAGATTATAGAGAGGAATATATGGTGAAGAATAGGTTGGATTTGTGTATGAAATGATGAAGAAAATATGGTTGTTTGGAAGAGGTGATAGGGCAGAATAAAGGGCAAGAGAAAAGCAATATTATGGAGTGGTTTTGATGAAGAAATGAAGTGTTTAAATGGGAGAAAGGAAATGGACGAAATTAGGAAAGAAAAGGGAGTTCTTTTGTGGTTTTTATTGTAGAAGGATAAACCAAATAATAAATAAGAGATAAACACACTCTTATTTTATTTGGGGCTGTTGCATATCACACAATAATATTCACTATTATTATATGAAATAGACTCCTAACACACACTCAAAAGTAGCCAACTTCACAGATATTTCATTAGGAAATTGAGAGATTTAGCTTCACACCAACTCAAAGATTACTTCAAAGAGTAAGGAAATGAAATACAATGAATGAATTTTACAAGGCCGTAGGGCCGAAATATATAGGGAAAAACAGCAAGGAAACTTCACCACTCTTTCCTGCAATTCAAGTGCATAATGTCTATTTGATGGATCCCATAGGTTGTCCTCATTGATCAAGGCTAAATGGAGTTCAAGGTGGGGAAATGGGCTGTCTTTGGGTTGGGAAATTCGTCCATGTGAAGGGTAGGGTGAGGGAGTGTGTCCTTTTGTCCATTTATGCAAAGTAAGGTATGTGACACATCAAGGGATTGATTGTTTATTCCTTTGGCCTTAATATAGGTGTGAGAAATGATTTGGGGGGATGTTTGGGGGGGACGAATTCGGCCATGGGACAAAGGGATGTGTGGGGGATGGTTTTGAATGATTTTCACACCAAGACAAAAGACATGTTTAATCCTTGTCTCCTGATTTAGTCTTTTGTGTTTTGTAATGGATTGGGATGGATGGGGATGGATTCTTAGGACAAAAGGGGGTGTATTTTTGTGGGTTTGAAGTAGGAAAAGGTGGAGGAAGGGTTTATTCAAAGTAGGGAATATTAGGAAAGAAAACAACACACACAAAGCAATTTTGTTTGTCCTTGTCTCTTCGATTTTCGGCCATGGCTTCAAAGGGAGGTGAAGGACTTTATTTTGGTTAATAAAGGCGAATGAAATACTTTTGGATATGTGGGAGTGTGTTGGGCTTGTAGGCATTTCGGCCTAGGTTGGGTTTTGGGAGAGAAGTGTCATGGTTCGGGCTATAATGTGGGACGGGTCAATGAGTTCAACCCAAAATGGATCATAACACCTAGACATTAAACACTTGACTTGTTGTACTACTAGTGGCGTGTGTGAAGGTGCATCCCGGGGTATATCATCCTCCCCTTTTTCAAAAGAGTTTGACCTCAAACTCGGAATATCTTCTGGCTCAAAGTAGGGACTGAGGTCGGCAATGTTGAACGTGGCAGAGACTCCATATTCTCCGGGCAGGTTGATCTTGTAAGCGTTGTCATTGATCTTTTCTAGTACTTCAAAGGGACCGTCCGCTCGGGGCAGTAGCTTGGACTTGCGTTTCGTGGGGAAACGCTCTTTTCTGAGGTGAATCCAAACTAAGTCTCCGGGTTTGAATTCGGCAGACTTCCTTCTCTTGTTGATG